TCATCAAGCAACGCATCCCTACGCATATGGTTGGGATGGATGCCTCTCTTAATGCGAGAGAGGTTACCGCGCGTGTGGTTTGAGGATGGCCCGCCATTGCAGGCCTTCCCAAGCCCGCCAAGACGCACTCCCTCGGATACGCTGCCACAGTCCATGCAACAGAAAAGGGTGACCGCGTCAGGGGCACCAGTCAGGTGAATTTTGTGCCCCATGGGGCTCCTGCACAAGGGCGCGCAGCATGGAATTGAAACCAATGCAATCCGCAGAAGGCTCCGGAGGATCAGAGCGCACACGGATGGGGCACCGCGTGCAGGCCCACAGGCCTCGAATCTACCTGAATTGATGGCCTCGCTCTCTGCGCTGGGACGCCAGAGCCCCACTTAAAGTGGGCGCGAGGCTCGGGCCCTCAGGGCCTCCAACCGAAGGAGGGGCAGGAGGCGGGGGGGCACCCCGAGGGGGAGGAAAGGGGTTTGGATCTCCCGAGCCAGCCGCGCCCAGCACCTCGTCGGCGGCACTGACGGTGGCGGCTCGGGCGGCGCTGCCTCCAGCGGTGGCGGCGCTGGCAGCGCCAGCGCGGGACGAGCCTGCCCTGCCCAATCTCTTGCTGGGCCTGGCAGGCGCAAGGCTTGACCAGTGCAAGAGAGCCTTGGCCACAAAAGCCAAGAAACTCTTCAGGCTAGAGGTTTCAAGGCTACACTCAGAAAGCTTTCTCTGAGACGGACGGGAGTGGGTCATCGCAGCCGCCTTCGCAGCCACATCGGCCCAGTGATTCTCTCTGGCCTTGTACCAGTCCTCAGAAAAACGCTTGAAACAATCGGCACTCTGATGGCTTTTCACTTTCGTGATAGCAGCAGCATCTTTCCTGGGCAGGCGGTTCAGAGCTAGGAGAACAGGTCCAGCGTAGTAAGCCCGTCTGTCTGAAACAACTTCCAAGGGCTTCTCGTTCGCGGCCACAAGCCCATCGTCCTGGATACATACACATGCCCAGCCTGCACAATGGTGGACTGTGTGACCTTCCTTAAAACAAGAGCCGTCGTGAAAGCACTTCTGGTTTCGGAAAGCCTCCAAGGCGGTCATGTTGGGGTAAACACAGAAGAAGGACTAGCTTTCATGTCCAAAACCATCAGGCGGCCTCAATCTGTTCTCAGGAACCAGCTGAAACTCAAGCATACGAGGGTTCTTCTTATCTTCACGAGAGACCAAAATCAGCCACTTCTTCCTTCAGGAACTCATCCCTTACGCTTATGGTAGCGGAGCATCCAAACAACCGGTGGTGAAGATCATCCCGTGGAAATCGACACAGAGGGCAATATTCGTCTTCAACATCGTAGCCCAGTCTAGCTAGTCCCCACCTAGACCACAAACACTGTGTGACAAAAGCTTTCAACATGCACTTCTCAGCATACGACAAAACACTGCTGGGGGATAACAGCTGGCAGCTGACAGACGTATCCAAGAGTTCTCCAGGGTGTCCAAACTTCCGAGCAGCCTTCAAAGCCAACATGTGCATCCACGCAGCTCTAAGATCACAGAGAACTTTTGCGGGAGAAGTGCTGGTTAGGATTACTTCCTGCCCCTTGTGGTCCTCCAAGACAAAAAGGGTGACGAACTTCCAGGTTCCAGGAAACCCTTCGCAGAGAGACAGCGGCAGCCCCAAAAGGTCCTTTGACCTGGTTCCAAGCTTTCGGCGGCCTCGTCAGGATGTTCAAGGCGAGCTCCCTCAGCCGTGGCAGCGAGGGTTCGAATCCAGCGCGGGACATCTTGGGGGCCTCTTGGGCCGTCATGGGGTAATCTTGGAGACATTTTGGGCGATCTCGGGGCGATCTTTGGGGCCTTTTGGGCCGTGGGAGTGCCGAAAAGAAGCGAATGTCACAATCCTAAGGAAAATAAATGATTTTGGCCTCTTCGGGCCTTCCTGGAGGACATCTTGGAGGCCTCTTGGGCTGTCTTGGAGACCTCTTAGGGGGCTCCTAGGCCGTCTTTGGCCATCTTGAGGCTATATTCGGCCGTCTTGTGTGCATCTTGGGCTGTCTTGGAGGCATCTTGGGGCCATCTTAGCCGTCTTTGAGGCCATCTTGGCCGTTTGGGAGGCATCTTGGAGGCCACTTTGGGCCATCTTGAGCGAAACATGTGGGAATTGAGGTCCTGCGTAATCTTTCCAGAGCCCGGGCGGGCTGGGCCGAAGACCCAGGGGGAGTTTTTCTGGAAAACACCACAACCAAAACCGAAAGGATCTAGCACGCCAGGCACCCGTGTGATGCATCAACAGGGGGCGGCGGATCCAAGACGCTCACGGCGAATCACCCGCCGCCCCCTGCCTTGTTGGAAGCGCCTATGTGGCCGAACGTTGAGGCCAGACCTGCCAAGCTATCGGGCCAGGTGTTCCCCGAATCGGTTTGGAACGCGGTCATCCTGGCCGCCTGAAGGCCATTTTGATCCTTTTCTTGGAGGGCTCTTGGGGGGCTCTTGGGCCTTCTTGGAGGCCACCTTGAGCGTCTTGGAGGCCTCTCGGGCCGTCTTGGGGGCCTCTTGGGGCCGTCTTGGGCCTCTTGGGCGATCTTTGGGGGCTTTTGGGCCGTCTTGGGTCGTCGGAAGCCGAATAAACCACAATCCTTCAAAATCTCATGGAGAATCAATGATTTGGGCCTTTTCGGGCCTTCCTGGGTGCCCTCTTCTAGGCCTCTCGGGCCGTCTTGGGCCAGCTTCGAGCCAACTTCGGTCACCTTGGTGGGCCCCTGGCCCGTCTGACGCCGTCGGAAGCCGTTTGGGGGGCCTCTCTGAGCCGACTTGGGGCCTTCTTAAAAGCCTCTTGGTGCCGTTTTGGGGGCCTCTTAGGGCCGTCTTGGGGGCCTCTTGGGCCGTTCTGGGGCCATCTTGGAGGCATCTTGGGCGATCTTGGGGGCGATCCTGGGCCGTCTTGGGTCGTCGGAAAGCCGAGAAGAAGCGAATGCCAACATCCTTCAACAAGCTACGGAAAATGACTGTTTTTGGCCGTTTCTGGCCTTCCTGGAGGCCCTCTTGGAGGCCTCTTGGGCCGTCTTGGGCCAGCTTCGAGCCAATTTCGGCCATTTTGGTGGGCTCCTGGCCCGTCTGACGCCGTCGGAAGCCGTTTGAGGGGCCTTTCTGGGCCCACTTGGTGCCCTTTCGGGGTGCTCCAGGGCCGTCTTAGAGGCCATCTTGGGCGTCTTGGAGGCCTCTTGGGTCGTCTTTGTACCCTCTTGGGGCCGTCTCAGGGGCCTCTTGGGCAGTCCTGAAGGAGATAGGGGGGAGGGGCCAAGCTACCGGAGAACCCCTCCCCGAAGGGGAAGAAGGGGGGTGGAAGAGGAAACTCCCTCAACCACCTACGCCCAGAGAGTTGGTGGGAATTATTTTGGCCTCTTGGGAGGCCTCTTGGGAGGCCTCTTGGAGGCCTCTTTGGGCGTCTTGGAGACCTCTTGGGCCGTCTGGGGGGCCATCTTGAGGATTTTGGAGCGGGGCCTTCTTGGCCCGTTTTGGGGCCCTCCCAGGCCCGAACATTTACGCGAGAACGCTTCATCGAGGACTGAGGCTTAGCGGGCTGAGCAAAGGGCCTGAGGACACGCCCACTCCACTCCGTGCCCAGAGGCACAGTGGCAGAGATTGGAGGAGCTCGAGTAGGAGCTGTAGCTGGGTATCTAGTACGAGGCGTGGCAGGAATGGTAGCAGGAACTGGAGTAGGGGCTGTGAAGGTGGATGTAGCAGGATCTGTGTGAGCTGCAGTGGGCGTAGCGTTATGATCTGAAGCAGGAGCCGCCGCTGGATGAGTACTAGGATGAAGTTCTAATATGGCTTAGAGTAGCGGCTGCAATGTTTCGAAACCTCGCCGGACACACGCAGCACACGAGGCGGCAACGAGGCGGCAACGTGGCGACACCTTGCTGGACCCACCCAGCGCACGAGGCTGCAACGGCCTGCAACTGCCGGCAACGCGGACCCACCCAGCGCACGTGAAGGCAGCGAGGAGCCAACGGGCGGCAATGCGGTGGGACCTCGCCGGACCCATTCAGCGCACGTGAAGGCAACGATAAGGCAATGGGTGGCAATGCAGCGGAACCACGCCGGACCCTTTCAGCGCACGAGGCGGCAACGAGGCGGCAACGGGCGGCAATGTGGCGGAACCTCGCTGGAACCACTCAGCGCATGAGGCGGCTAAAGGGAGGCAACGGGCGGCAACGCGGCGAAACCTCGCCGGACCCATGAGGCGACAACGAGGTGGCACAGGGCGGCAACGTGGAAAAACCTCGCCAGACCTAACCAAGTCCTTAGGGAGACAAGTAAGAACCTCTAAGTGCAAGCATTGTTTGGAGAATATGAAATAGTAGCTGTACTAAGAGCTGCATTAGGAGCTGCATTAGGAATGGCAGAAGCAGGTGTAGTGGGAACTGCTACGAGATGCATTCGGATCTACACGGGAACTGCAATATTAGCTGCAGCAGGAGCTGTAGTAAGTTGTATAAGAAGAGTTGCTGCAGGTGTTTTGTGGCCAATCTAGCGGAAGGTAAAGTAGCAATTGCAGGAAGAGTTGTAGTAACGCCGTGGCCCAGACCATGCGCACATCTCTGTTCAAGACAGGCCGTGATTTGGCACAGAAGGACATATACTATCTCCCCCCCGCCGTCAGATCACCCAAAGCAATGGTACCAGATTGTGGCATGCAACGCCTTTACAAAGAACCAAGCTTATCCCCGACGCATATCGCACTACAGCAGCATACGTTACGCCTGCACCCAGCAAGGTGGAACGGCAACTGCACATCAGTAGTTCTTATGTGTCGGAGGTTTGGGTTAGTTTTGTAACATTTCGGGCAGTCGTTTGCAGCAACAACCCTCGACCCACCCTTGTGCCTTCCCTTGCACACACAGACCCAACGCACCTTCACCTTCTCTGCCCCCTTTTCTAATCCACTCCTCTCCTCTCTGTAATGTTGCTCGCCCGTCCCTTTCCTCTCCCTCGGCTATCGGCCCCACATGCGTGGCCAGGAGCAAACAGCGAATAAGAAGATGCAAGGCGACCTGAGCCCACGCAGGAGGCTTGGTGCCCCGCCCATGAGAGCGAACTCCACTTGTAATTTTGAAAGCCAGAGAACGGGCTGGAACATGTTAGGAAGAAGGACGATGACAAAGGCAGCAACAGAGCGAGATTCAAGGACAGGATGTTTAATGACTATACAATCAGGTGGAGGAGCAGGATCGGCAACATGATGAGCAGGCGCTCGAGCAGGACAGGAAGAAGGGCGACAACAAGTCCGAAATAGATGACGAGCAGAGAAGGGAATAACGACGCGGGTGCATGGAAAAGGGAGGACACACCATGTAGTGGGAGGCAGTCGATCGAGAATCAGGAAGGAGGGGGAAGGACACGTGAAGTAGGGGCTCGGTTTTGCCAGTTGTTGCCAGTTTGGAACATGATGCTTGGAGACTCGCAAGGCGCATTTCGTCCTACAGTTGCGCGTTGCACTTATCACGAACCAGTCGTGCATTAGTTTTTGGCGGAGGCCCTGGGGTTAGAGCTGTTTTTTTGTTGTGGTGGAGCAGAATTGCGAAATCCGTCACGCTTTGCGCATCCCCGTCAGCGCAATCAAGATCCTTGCCCAAGAGAGTTGATGGGAAGAGGGACGAAGATATACATGTAGTGAAACAAAGCATGCAATCAGGTTGACCATACAGATTTTTGGGGGTAAAGGGGTGGCGTTGGAAGGCCTTGGAGGGCCATCCCTGGGGCCCGCGTGGGGCGAGGGCAGGAGGAGCAGGAGGAGAAGCAGGAGGAAGACAACGACGACGACCACGACACCGAGAAAGAGGAGGAAAAGGAAAGGACGACGAGGAGGAGGAGGAGGAGAAGGAGGAGGAGGACGAGGACAACGAGGACGAGGACAGAGCCCTCAAAATCGCCACTTGGAGCCCTCTTGGGAAGGTTCTCTTGGGGCTCTTCTAGAGGGTCCTGGGACCCTCTTGGGGCTCTCATAGGAGTCATTTGGGAGCCGTGGAGGGCCTCTTGGGACCAACTTGAAGACCAACGATCAAAGGGGGGGGAAGGGGTGGGAGGGGGGGGAGGGGGCAATTTGCCCCCCCCCCCCCCTCCCCTCGCATCCCGGACCAGCAACCTCGCTTCATAGGGGCCTTCTTGGGGCAGTTTTGGGCCGTTCTTGGGCGCTATTGGGGCAGTTGAGGGGGCCTGTTGGGCCTCTCCTGGACCATCTTGGGACCATTGAGGCATCAAACATTCATCGGAAGCGAGAAGGCGAACATTCACAATTCATTGATTTCCCCATGATGTAAGATTTGGGCCTTTTTGGGGGGTCCTGACGGGGCTCCGAGAGCAGTTGGAACCGTCTTGTGGCCCCGTCGGTCCCTTTGGAAGCATGTCGGAAGCTATCGTGAGCCATCGTCGGATATTTTGAGCAATCTTGTGGGCCATTTTAGAGTATCGGAGGTATTCTTGGAGCCCTCTTGAGCCATCTGGGACGCTCTGCCGCGTCCTGGCCCGCCCCGAAAAACCTCAGGGAGGGTTGGAGGGAGATAAACCTCCCAGAAGGGAAGAGGTTTTTAGAAGAAAAAAGAAAGGAAAGACTTCGTTAGATCACTTTAGCCCATAGGGCTGGTGGGATACGTTGTTGCATCGAAATCGTTGCTTGCGCAGCGCATGTGAAAGTAGAGGGTCACATTGTTCGTGTGTTGTATTGCGTACATCCTCGAGCAACTCGGCCGTGCTGCGTTTGAATTGTTTGGTATGTGCATCGGTAAGACTAGCGCCACGTTGCTCTGTCCGCCATGGAGAGACAAGACAGATGGCGCGATAGAGAGCCAGAGGGAGAGAGAGAAAGAACAGGAAGACAGTGTTCTACACATCTCTGCATGCTATATGCAGAGAATTGAAGTGAGAGATAAATATTCATACATAGAGTCTGATATATACATATAACGGCGCACCGGGTCCGGGGACCCGGGGCCGGGACCCCGACCACAAATGTGGGCCCCGGGGGGCCCGGAGGCTCGTCGGACCGCCGGACGCCGTCCAAGATCGTTCGCAGGCGGCTTCGGAACGCGCTCCGATGGCTCCAGATGCCTTCCAAGACGCCTGTCATGACACCAAGAAGGTCCCAGAAGCCTCCAAGACGCTCCGAGAGGCAGCCCAAGAGAGGCCCAAGAAGCAAAAATCGTGCCATTCCTATGGGAAAACGTATATTTTTCGCATGTTCGCCTCTTGGGCTTTCACCGCGTCCAAGACGGCCCAAGAGGCGCCCAAGACGGTCTACGAGGCCTCCGGGAGCGCTCCAAGGCTGCGCACGAGTGGCCCAGGACGGCCCCAAGACGGCCGAAGAGAGCCCCAAGACGAGTTCGAGAGGGGTCCCAGACGGAGAAAGCCAACCTCGAATTCCGAGCTTCCGGCCCAAGAGGCTCCAGGAGGCGCCAAAATGCCGCCAAGAGGCGCCAAAAGGCTCCCAAAAGCACCCCAAGACGTTCCGAGAGGCACCCCAAGAGAGGTCCAAGAAACAAAAATCGTGCCATTCCTATGGGAAAACGTATATTTTTCGCATGTTCGCATCTTGGGCTTTCACCGCGTCCAAGACGGCCCAAGAGGCCTCCAAGACGGCCTAGGAGGCCTCCGGGAGCGCTCCAAGGCTGCGCACGAGTGGCTCAGGACGGCCCCAAGACGGCCCAAGAGAACCCCAAGACGACTTCGAGAGGGGTCCCAGAAGGAGAAAGCCACTCTCGAATTCCGAGCTTCCGGCCCAACATATCCCAGGAGGCGCCAAAACGCCGCCCAGAGGCGCCAAAAGGCTTCCAAAATCAGCCCAAGACGTTCCGAGAGGCACCCCAAGAGAGGTCCAAGAAATGAAAATCGTGCCGTTCCTATGGGAAAACGTATATTTTTCGCATGTTCGCATCTTGGGCTTTCACCGCGTCCAAGACGGCCCAAGAGGCCTCCAAGACCGCCCCAAGACGGCCCAAGAAGCTTCCAAGAGGGCCCCAGGACAGCCCAAGAGGGCCCCAAGACGGCCCAAGAGGCGCCCAAGATGGCCCAAGAGGGCCCCAAGACGGGCCCAAGAGGGGGCCCAGAGGGGGACCACGAACCGCAAGCTCGAGCCTTCCGCCCCAAGAGGCCGCCAGGAGGCCCCAAGGAGGCCCCTCAAGAGGCCCCAGGAGACCCCCAAGAGGCCCAAAGGAGGCCCCGAGAAGCCCCAAATCGGCCCCCAAAATGCTTCGAACCTGCTTCCAGGAGGCCCCCGACAGGTTCAGAGGCTCCCGAGAAGCTACGTCAAACTCCCAGCGAGCGGCCGGACGAGGCCCCCCACAAAATCACAAGAGGGTTCCAGTATTTGTATCCTTCAGCGCTCTCTGGCCTTCTTCCCCCTGCCCCCTTCCCTGCGACTTTCGTTGACTCAAGCTCGCCTCCTAGCTAGAACCTAAGCGCGCGCGAAGCGCGCGCGTGGTTCTATACATATAGATATAGAGAGAGGGGACAAGAGAGATGCTAGTGATAACGAAAGAGAGTGTGTGTGTGTGTGTGTGAAAAGGGAGTCCGGTCGTGGCGCCACGACTGTGGCTCTGAAAACGCCAGTGTTGCCGTAATGGTTGGAGAGTGCGACCAACAGCACAACAGAGTGCAGCCTGACCCGCAAAGTAATCCGTACAAGGATCAGCAGGTCTACGTTGGCAGTGGTGAGTTGGGGCAGCAGCGCAACAGGGAGCAGCACGACTGGAGGCAGCAGCTCCTCGGCGCCCGCGGGCCGCCCACCAGGGACCAGCAGCGCGATGCTGTGAGGCACGACGACGGGCGCGACGACAGGCGGCGAGGTGGGAAGCAGCTGCACGCCTGCCAGGAGCCGGGTGTTGGTCAGCAGGGCGATGCACAGCAGCGATACGGCAACCCCGCCAGGGCACCGCTATAGCACCGCGGAACTGTTCTTCTCTGCGCCGCGTCCAGTCGTGTGCGCCACGGCCTCAGGAGCGCAATCGGGCCACTCATGGCTGCCCAGCTGGCGCCGCCACCGTAGACCTATTGCCACAGCCAGGTTCCTTCGCGGGGGCCCTCCTCGACGCGGCGTTCTTGTTCACCATCTTGTCCTGCGACCTGTCGCTTCGAGATCGCTTCGTCGTCATGCGCTCCGAGGTTGGGATTCTTGCCTGTGCCTAAGGTCTCCTGCAGTGCGCCCTGGGAAAGCGGGCCACCGCGCCTTAGGTCAGCGCGCTGGTCTCCGGCAACCCCGTGCCCTGGATGGCGGCGCGGCTTGTGTGGGGCGGCGGTTGGGGGGGCGTGCATCGGATTCGTCCTCTTGCTTGCCGTTGCCTGCGCTATTCGAAGAAGAACAAGCACCCAACGCATAAACCTTTGGCGCTCCGCGCGGATTTCTTGGATCCGCGCTGGGACCCCCTCTGGCGGCGCCTCCGACGCCGCCCCTGGCGCGCTCCGCGCGCCATGGACGGTGGGTCCAGAGCAGATCCAAGCAATCCGCGCGGAGCGCCAGCAGTTTCTATGTATGCAGTTGTTTCTTCTTCTGGTTGCCGCCTTGGATGCCGTTGCCTGCGACATCCACTTCTGTCCGTGGGCGCGCCTGCTCTCCAGCGCAGGCGCGGTCGCGGCGGTCACCGGGGCTCTCGACGCCAAGATCTCGGGCTTGCTGCTCATGGCCGCCCGCCAATGGCCGCGCCCGGAGCCCTGCCTCCGCCACCGGACGCGCACCCGCAAGCCCGGCCACTACCTGGAGGAGTGGCCTTGGTCGCCACGTGGGCCGTGGACACAATGCGATCGCGGCGGGCGTGCTGGTGTCGGGCGGCTGGTGGCGGGGAGTGGATGGAGAAAGGAGGGTTGTGTGCGTTCAACCCGGCAGTGGCGAACAAGTTTCTCTATTCGGGAGACTCTTCATGGGGGGGGATCCCATGGGGGGATAGGATCCCATGGGGGGGATCCCATAGGATCCCATGGGGGGGCAGGAGGGGATCCCATGGGGGGGATCCCCTCCTGCCCCCCCCATGGGATCCCCCCCCATGGAGAGTCTCCCCATCTATCACTCCACTTGCATCGAAGGCGGTCTGGGGCCCTTCGACCATCTGGCGGGGCACCGACGCTCTCGCAACGGCAAGGGCTCCCTCGAGGGCGCGAAGTTATTCGCGCTTCGCGCTTCGCGGTCCTCGTTCCTTCTCCCCCTCCTCCTCGTCCTCCTATTCTCCCTTTGGGAGGGCGGCGCGAGAGCGCGAAGTTATTCGCGCTTCGCGCAGCGCGAAGCGCGAAGTTGGGAGCCCTAGCAACGGAGCAGGCTAACGCCCTCCGCGAATACAGCGCCCACGCCAGGCCAAGCGCGCCAGGGTGGACCCCGAGCGGCACCAACAAGAAGCTGCCCTGGGCGCCCCCCCTCCTGGGCGCAGACGACGGCAGCCCAGCCAATTTGCCAGATGAGATCGCGGAGGACGGAGAGCAGCCCACGAATTTGGCACGGTGGGGCTATGACGATTTTTGGCACGCGCCTCGTGGCCCGCATGACGAACTGGGGTGCCTGGCCAACTGCGTGCGGAAGTGTGTTGCGTCGGCTGGCCGCCAAGGCCAGCTGCGATGTCCTCCAAAAATGCGTCAAGCACGGGTGCGGGTTGTGCCAGTTCGCGGTCGGGAAGCCAGGGGCTGCGAGGCGATGCGCACATGCATTTCGGCTCTGAAAGAGGCCGACCCCCCGGGGCGCAGTCGTCGCGCTCGGTTGCAGCAGAACCTCTCGCAGCCCACCCAGAGAGCACATCCGCGCCCGGGCGCGTGCACTGCTCAGGTTTGTGCGGTGACTGCTCTGATTTGGTGCGTGTGATCACCCCTCCGCTCGGGTTCGAAGGCATGCAAAGGGAAAGCCAGCACGCTCCGCCACGCACGCGCCTTGGCAACTGCAGCGCTGGGCGCGGAAGACCACGCATTTGTTCTGTGGCCAAAACGCGCGGAACCCGTTCGCGCGACTGGCGGGGTCGACCAGGAGTGCCCGCTCTCGCCCGCATTTTTCGCGATCGCCGTGCCGGGGGCCTTGGGCGAAGTCAACGGCCAGCTGCATCAGCTCTCGCCAGAATGCCGCATCTTCTCTTATTTGGAAATTGTCTGCACCCCGCCTGAACACGTCGCTGCGGCTGCCCAGCTGTTTCCCGCGGAGCTCGACCAGTTTTGTTATGTTCCTTGTGCGGGGCCTACTCTGAAAAGCGCAGCCAGGGTCTCTCGGACGAGTGCCTGGCCAGTCGGCGGAGGCTTGGCACGCAAGTCAAGGATTCTCGGTTTTATCGCCTTCAGAATCTGCTGAAGGGCTGCCACCCCAACAAGTAGAGTTTGTTTCTGGGGCCTCCAATTTTGCTGCGGAAGAGGAGGCCCGCAGAGATGGCTAGCATGCCGCCACTTCCCTCGCTCCCTCTGACCTCTGGGGTTGGGAGTGGGTCGGACGTGGGGGTGGGGTGGTCGGGGCAGGAGCATCTCTCGCCTCCTGTGTCCCAGGCTGTCTCGGCCTTGCGGGAGGACTTTCAAGGCCTCCCCTTTGCCAGCGACTCGGATGACGACGACGACCTTCCCCGCGATCTGCGGAGCTGGGTCGAATAGCGTCTCCGTCGCTGGCCGCCAGGGTTTTTTTTTTTTTTTTTTTTTTTTTTTTTTTTTTTTTTTTTTTTTTTTTTTTTTTTTTTTTTATATATATATATATATATATATATATATATATATAAATAAAAAAAGCTAGTACGCGTGCGGCTGGTCTTTGTCAGTGCAAAAGTCCTTATTGCCAACCTCGGCAAGATGCGGCAAGACGCAGGCGTGGACGGCAGACCCGCAAGCCCCCTTGCCGCCGAACATCGGCGTTCTCCAGGCACAGACCAAGAGTCTCGGGAACGCCGCGCCTTGGATCGACCAGCAGGCGGACAAGGTTCTGGTGCACGACAGAGACGGCGGGGCCGCCGCAATAAGCGGCGCCCAGGCCATCACCGCTCGCCTCGGGGAGCTGCGAGCCGCCGGCCTTCTCTGCCGAGGCCGCTGGCGCCCTCTGCGATTGCGTACAAGGGTTTGCCACGCATCACTTCCGGGCGAACCTGCAGACCCGGTGGGCCGAGCGGTTCGACAACGTTCTGTTCGCTGCGCTTGAGAGTCTGTTGGGCGAGCCCTTGGGGGGCACGCGACGCTTGCGGGCAACGCTGCGCCTCCCAGGCGGGGTGTGTGTTTTCCCTTCCGCCGCCCAGACCGCTCCCGTCGCCTACTCTGCTAGCTGGACCCTTTGCCTGCACGACGCGGCGGCCTGCTTAGGGGCCAGCGCCCTGGAGGAGTTCAGCGCCCGCCGCCCGCGCACCCTCCAGACTCTTGCCCAGGCGGAACGGGCGCACCAGACCTCTGGGGCTCTCGTTTGCTGGACTATCTGCGGGAGCAGCACCACAAGGGGCAAGGACGCTGGGGCAAAGCCACTTCCGAGGCCAAGAAGAAACTGTTCTTGAACACCCTGATGGGCGAGGATGGCCGCTTCTCGCTACTGTCGGACGGAGGGGCCGCGGCAGGCTCATTCCTATTGCCCCGGCGGTCTGGCGACACCGCGCAGGCAGACAAGCACTTCCTCGCCAATCTGAAGATGAGGCTCGACGCGCCCGTCTTTCCCTATTGGGCCAGGTGCCAGCGCGTGTTTAAGAGCAGAGGACAAAGCTGCAACGAACCACTTGACTGGAAGGGATGGCACGCGAGGGTCTGCGAGGTCGGGGGGTCCAGGACGCACCAGCACAGTCGCCTTCGAGACTGGCGCGCTAAGCGCCATTCCGAGTTCTCTGGGCACGCGGCCCCGACCGATCAGCGGGTTGACGCTTCGGATTGCCGCGTCGCCGACGGACGAAATCATGAGGCTGTTCTGGACGCCGTCACAATCGACCACAAGATTTGACGCCACATTCACGTGGATTGGGCCGTGACCTGCACATGCTCAACCTGTACAAGCGGGCCAGATACCCCCCGAGGACGGGCTCGGAACTCGTCCCCATGGTCTTCGAGGCCAGGGGGCGGCCTTCTGAGGAGGCGCCTTCTTGAGGGGAGCTACGGGGGCGGGTTGGGTGACGAGGAGCGCCCAGTTTTCCTGAGCAGTCCCTGGCGCGAGATCTTCGTGGCGCTTCACACGGGGAACGCAGAGATGCTCCTGAGCGCGCTGAGGCAGCAGTCCACGGCTGACCCCCACCACGCCCGCCACGACCACCACCAACACGATTACCACCAGCACGGCCACCACCTGCACGATCGCCGCCTCGACTAGTGCACGGGCGCCTACCACGACCATTTGTGACCTCAAGGACTGCCACGACCATCGCGATCACCACGACCACCACGACCACAACGAGTACTAGCATGACCACCAGCACGACCACTTAGCACCTAGCACGAGCCACCGCGACCACTACAGTCAACCCGCATAATAAGGATGGGCGTGCTTCCCGAGGGCGCCCTTGCATCTTTGCCCCCTCGGTCCATCCTTGGCCACCTTTGTTGGCCGTGCCCCGCCCGAAATGTTTCGAAATGGCCTTCCCAGGCCCTTGCATCCTTTTCGCGCATCCTTCTGGTACGGGTTGATTGACGGCTTCGACCACGACCGCCCCCGGCGACCACCCCCACGCCCACCGCGGGACGCCACTGCGACAAAACCGTGAGCACGACCACCACAAACACGACCACCACCACCAGCACGACCACCAACACGACCATCACCACGACGACCTGACGACCGCCCTCCGCACCCCCTTGCTTCCTTGCCGGCCGCCCCTGCAGTTTGCGCGTCTTGTTTCTTCCTCCTCCTCCCTCTCCTCCTCCCCTTGTCCCCCGGGCGTCGCCTGCGCCCGCACTGCTATGCTCGCACAGGCGTTCGACTAAGGCGGCGTCCGTGTGATAGGCAGTGGTGGTGGTTTTAGGCACCGTCCACCGCCGCGTGTTGTGTCCTTCCGGGCATCACGTCAGGGCGGGGCGCTTCGGACTTCGGTTTTTTTTCTCGTTAGGGAAGGAGGGAAGGAGGGAGGGGAGGAGGGAGGGAGGGAGGGACAGGGGGAGCGGGAGAGAAAAATACAGGGAGGGAGGTAGGGCGTAGAGAGAAGGAAGTACTGAGCGAGGACAAGGGGGGAACCGCGCAACCAGGCGTGGCCCGGCCGACGAGGACAGGCAGCGCAAAGAGCTGAAGGCGCCGGCGCACGCCACGCCAGGGGGCGCGGGTTTCCTGCGGCACAGCGCGTTGCGCAGTTGTGGTCTGCATCGTCGTGGCACGTCAACGGTACGTCCTGCTGTACGTTGATCAAGCAGTGGCGAAGCGTCTTGGCTCGCCTATAGGCCTACCAAACAATGTTCTAAGAACCTGTTGTGGTTCTCACGAAGTGTTCTCAGAACATTTTTGGCGGAGTCTGTCTTGTTCTATCACATCGGGTTTATGTTCTAAGAACATCGTTTTCGTTATTCGAGCATTTGTGGGTTCTAAGAACATTTCGTGGTAGGGCTAAAGGAATGCCAGGACGGTCGGTCCCTGCTCAAGTTGAAGCGCCCGTGCACGTGTGTAGCACGTGCACGCGCGGCCAAGCTGCGTCATACCTGGCGCGGCCACGAGCCGCGCGGTGATGGGCGCCAGCGCCTAACTGAAAGGATTCCCGGTGTGATTGTTGCCGTGGTGGCTCTCTTTCAGGAGGTTTAAGGCACACAGACACAAATAATCGTCGATTCCCCGGAAAATATAAGAAAATATGGGAAGTGGGGGGGAAGACAACAACCCAGAAAATAGGGGAAATATGGTGAATCCTGTTATTTGTGACTATTTATGTGTGTGTTCCAGGGCTCCTTCATGAAATGATTCCCGGTGTTTTTGGTGCCGTGGTGGTTTTATAAAAAACCACGTCGAGATGTACCGTGCTGTGGTACACAACGCTCCTTCACTTCATGATGCGCTCTGTCACGATGTTATGATTTCGCGTGTGCTCTGAAGAGCGTGCATGCAAGTGTGATGTTCTGCCCGCGCGGTGATGCGGCTTGTACTGAGTTGTATTGACTTGCACCGCGCCGCACCGCATTGCGTTGTACGTACGCGTGACCTCCCCGCCGTCCTCTTTCCCTCCCCTTGTCCCTGCCACGAATCACCTCTCCTATCATCCTTCCTGAGTCAGGGGCAGGGCACAGGAAGCACCTCATGATAGTGCGTTCAGTTTTGCATGATGCCAGGGAGCACGAATCCATGAAGCATCAGTAAAGAGGCCAGTATCGCGATGCGACAGGGGCATGCCGAGGGCATGCCCATCCCCTTCTCATTCCATTCAAAAGCGCATATTGACGTGGAAGCATTCTAGAAGAAATCTGAATGCGTCCAGTCTGTGCAGAGCGTTCTTTCCGAAAGTGGATAACACGTTATCTGGCGTATGCGAAGTCGTACTCTGACGTCCACTTGACAGCTCATCTGCACAACTACGACATGACAGCCGAGCGGTCGCACCATGCAGGCGAAAACGTTTGTGCGCGTGGGCGCGCTGTGCCAACGTGCCAGTCACATGTTTTGGCATTGCGCCTGTTGTAATTCGTCCATGATTCGTGTTATGCCAGGCCAAGGCCGAGAAGTTGGAGTTTTTCTCGTTCGAGGACGGGTCGAGAAGCCCGGTGTGAATGCGGCTGCCATTCGCAGCTGGGCCATCTCACGTATCGTTACGGTCGCTTGCAGCTTGCTCCCGGTTTGGCTGCTGTCCAAGATTTGGCCGAGCATTCCGCAAATTTGGGCCTGGCTGAAGCGAGTCATCGGGCGATTAATGGAAAGTCTATGAATCCTTTCCGCCAGGCTTCCCAGGCTCAACGGTGATATAAAGTCTGAGCAGGTTGAAGTGTGCTGATATCGTCTGAGCTGTGGTTGATCCAACTCTGTCTAGCCTCGCCTGCGCAAGATAAAACCCTGGGCCCAGGTGGGTGTGGGGGGGGATGCTCAGCTGGCAGTCGCTGGTCTTCCGTGTGAGGCACTGGTCCTGTGTATCCCAGCGACAGTGGCCTTTTGTGCACAGCCCAGATTGCCTGGCTGTCTCCCCAGTGAGCTCTTGGCGAACAACTTCGGCCCGGCCCAGCGGGGGGGAAGAGAAGAGGAGGAGGACACCAGCAGAGCCGCCTCTGATTGGCCTGTTTTCCTAGCCCAGCGCCGCAGGGCCGACTCAAAGACTATGCCAATGATGTGCCGCGAGTAGAAAAGTGCCCTTCCGATCACGGTTCAGCGGTTGGCGTGGGTCTCGGACATAGGGCGGAGCTCATCCGCCTCGCCCTACCCTTCGTCGTCGTTGTCGTCGTCGACATTATCCTCTACCTTTCCTGTTCCATGTGCAGCCAGGTTGTTCCATTACTTTTTCCTCCTGCTCTTCCTCGACATTGTCCAGGCTGCAAACCGCACGGGCCCGAGCCACACATTATGAGCAACTTCACGCAGCGCTCGGAAAGGGCAAGTTTGCGCACTGCACGTGTGCCCAGGACATGGACATCGAACTCTCATCGTAGAACGGAAAGCTTCAAGCATGCCAGCCATAATATTAGTTTCAGCAGCCCGATGGTTGCGGAGAGTAACCACCGCACCAGGATTGCATGGGCGATGCTTACCACATACAAGCGGGAGCTGACGAAGAAGCATGGGCTTCTGGCTCGCCGACTTCGGCTATAGCACAGCAACATTTGTCCGAGCAACGCTACATGGCGCAGAGATGTGTACATTCACCGAGACCAGCAGCCGGCATTCAAAGCGGGCGCAACGACGCATGCGTCGCATGAGCAGTAATTGCCCAAGCGACACACACAATCTACCAGACCCCTCGCGAAAGGCAGGACACGAGACCAAACGATCCACGCAGAACAGAAAACACCTCGCAAGGTATCACCGCATCGACGGAGTGCTAACAACGCAGAAGCGCATGGCGTGGCGCATGGCCACGACGGTCGTTCACCACGATTGCACCAGGTGGACTTATAAGTTGCTACAGTGGCAACCCAGCACCAACCCACCACAGAGGCCAACCCAAAAAGTCGGACGACGACCTCAAACAATTCCTGCGCCGAAGCCATCACCTGCAGCCGCCGCCCGCTACGAGCCGCGAAAGCAGGCAGCCCAAAGACGTAAGACAGGATTGAACAGCCTAAGATCCACTCGCAGGGTCGGCGCTGGACGACGAATTGTCTGACGCGCCCGCAAGCACTTTTTCCTGCATCGCGGCAGAGGCGACCTGCACGCGCGCTCTAGTAACCCGGGGCGCATGGCGTATTAATTGACCGGCAGCATGAGAGGGAAGGAGGGATGGGGCGGCCGCAGAATGCTAGCGGGGGAAGGAGGGCACTCACCGCGGAAAGAGTTTCAGCAGGAGTGGCCGGAGCGGCCAGTTCGTGCTGGTGCGACCTAGCAGTTGGCGCGGAGCGGCATCGCGATCACACCCAGGAGCTGAAGCCAAGGCTGCAGGCGCTGAAAGCGTGGATCGGAAGCTGGGCGAGGGCTGGCGAATCCGTGGCTGCTAAAACGGTCTTCCCAGAAGGAAACAACAAGTTCCCAGAATAAAGCTCAGCGCGCTATAGTGGTAAGCAGGCGTCTTCCCGGAAGAAAAAACAATTACCCGGAGCTCCATTTTAGCAGCCACAGGTTTGCCAGCCTTCGCCCAGCTTCTGGGTGGAGCAAGAGGCACGCGAGTCCACAGCGGCGAGAGTGGAAGCATCCTGGTGCCTGTCACGAAGCCGTAGCGTTTGGCTTTGCTGCAAAGGTACGGCGCCAACAGGATGCAACCACGGCCTGAGCGTCCGTGGGGTGGGGATTGTGGCTGCGAGCAGCGCGCCGCAGTAAACGCTACCATACTGAGCCCACGGGCTGCTGAGCTGCTGAGCAATTGAACTGCGGGTGTGGCGCACCGAAGCGAGAGGCCACCTGCCAATGCCAAACACACAAGTTGCTTCAAAAACGCAGCAATCCAGCGGCGAAGATAAAAACGCGCCGGAATCGTTTCCAGGCTCTTGTTGGCCATACAATCGCACTTGGACCACCCGTTTGCCAACCGGGACATCCGGGACGGGCCCGTCTCTCATCATGTTTTTTCTGATATGTTGTTTTATGTCTCGCGCGACGCAGCAGCTAGCGTAATCCAGAGGCCACGGCCTCATCCACCTGATCTCAGCTAGGCCTGGACGATTCTCCGCCGCGGTGGTCGTTCGTTTCTTCGCTCTGCCCCGTGCGCAGTTGGAGCCCGCCAGAGGGCCTTGCGGTTTTCCGTCGCCTCGGCTCGGCTTTTTGTCGCAGCTCGATGAACGAGGGTCCGACATTCCCGCTCTGCGTTCCCGCGCTTGGCCTCGAGACGCGCGCAGTGGTGAACGAGCTCCTTGAGTATGGAAGAGGACGGACACAAACCGACATACTCTACCACAAATATACATGTGTTCTTCGTGGGGCGACGGCGTCGCGTGACGATTGTCAGTCCCTTTCTTCATCCTAGGGCCGATGCGTCGTTGTCGGTTCCCCAAACAGTGCTTGCACGTAGGGGTTCTTACTTAACTTTATTGTCGAAGGAATCGGGCCTGCGTGGCGGTCAGGCGGCTCCGTGGTCGCCGTCGCCGCTCCGTCGCCGCCTCGTCGCCGCCCATCGTCTAGGCCTGCGTTGTGGTCTGGCCATTCCGTTGTCGCCGTCGCCGCCTCGTCGCTGCCCTGTCACCGCCTCGTCGCCGCACGTTGTCTAGGCTTGCATTGTTTGGCATTGGTTTGCACTGTTATGCCGTGTGTTGCATTGATTTGCGATGATTTGCATATTACACCCAGGGAATATCCCAATCAGTAGATGGTTTGGAGATGAGTGATTTTCATATTACAATCGATTGTGAGATCGATCGTGGGATCGATAGCGAGGACGATAGTAAGGTCGATCGTGAGGAGGAGTCGAGGAACCACAGGCGGGGACAAGGAATCATCAGCAGAACCAGCAAAACAACACACTTCAAACCGAAAGCATGAGGATGATAATAAAGGACACACCAGGCAAGAAAGAGGGCGGAGCGTGCGTTCGTGGGAAAGGTGCGCAAAATCAGAGCTGACGAGGAAAAACGGACCCGCCTAGAGCTCCCGCCCAGGCAACCGCTGGCAGGGTGGGGCGAGGGAGGGAGAAACAATAGCATTAAAGGAACAATGGACGGAGGAGGAGGAGGAGGAGGAGCGCGCGCCCGTCCTCTTCCCACTTCCTGTTCATTTCTCATCCCCCTCCTTCTCCTCCAGGAGGGCGGAGAAAGCAGCAGGGAAGGAGGAAGACCGCGCCCGCCCCAAGGCGCCTGCCGGCGGCTGCTGGTAGGGGCGGCCCACGAAGGAGGGAAAGACATCCGCTATTACCTCCATGTGGTTGCCACCGTGTTCGCGTGAGTCGGCAATGCTTACGGATTTGTTTTTTTCCACATTTTAGAAACGAGGATCGCAACATGCCGGGGGTGCTGCAACGTGGCGGGCCTCACGCGATTCGAAGCTAAGTTGGGGAAGGACGTATGTTTCAAGAACTGCGCGCCCAGCGGTTCCAAAATTTGCAATCAGCCGCAAGAGGCCATGGAACCAAACTTACCGGACGCTGTCTTGCACGACTTGGCACTTTCTGTTGTTTCGCGACGGTACGAGCGAGAACGGGATCGACATCTGTGGTTGTGGTTCATTGGGGGTGCGTTCGGCGACGCAGGCGCCAAGCTTGAGCCCGGTGTTCCTGTCACGAGGGTGGATGACGTCGATGGACACTTCCATTTCGCGAAACGGGGGGAGACCGCACCCTGGCTGAACAGAAGCTTGCACTACCAGGCTTGGGAGGGCATTCGGGCGGAGTACATGTACGCGCTGCCAAGTGGATAGATAGTGCAACTCGATGCGGCCGCCGTAATGATCACTGGCCGCTTGAAGTACTGCTTGTCAGCCAAGTGCATCCCGCTCGCGGGCATATCTACTTTAAGAACTGCAAGCACGGCAAGTACGTTTGGTTTGGCAGACTTGAGATCATTTAGATATTTTCGATGGCCGCGTTCGACACGCTCCTGGGAGCGATGGCCTCGTTCAAGGATGGTGGCATCGATTGGGAGGTGGGCATCGGTGACGGCCAGTACGCAGTACGGGCCCATGGGCGAAGATTTGTTTGCGCAGGTGGAAGCCCATTTGCGACACCGTCGCGATCACAACATAACGCCCGCTCATGAAGCTGGAGGACTTTTCGGCGTGCTACGAGTCCCGCCGCTTCCCGCCCCCCGATCTCGGCGACGCCCCCCCCGGCGTTTCGCGGCCCTCCGCCCCTCGCGCTCGGCTTGCCTCCGTCAGAACGGTGCGTGCAATTCGTCCGTGGCTTGTCCGACGATTTCGCTCACTCCTACCCGCTACGTGAAGACGTCGAGGGGTCGAGCCTGTCCCGTGCGAGAGTGAAAGGAGCCTTTGCCCGACGCCCTCCCGTCCGCGTCGGATGGCCGCCGCGGCGCCCACATCACCACGGCAGCTCGCTCTTTTTGCCAGCAGACGGCTGCCAGATTCTGGCCAGGACGTCACGAGTTCGACAGGTCGAGCCGAGCTTCCGATCTCCTGTGCGAGAGGCACAGTGGCTTGAAGCTGATTGGCCCTTGGTCCTACGTAGATCGAGTTCCGCACAGAGCGTCAA